AAAAAAGAAAACAAAATAAGGTTACTTTTATACTAAATATCTCAACACACATCATTGGATATGACATTAAGCGCAACTGGTGTAGATTAATTTAGTAAAACTGGCTTGACTGCTTTCTTTGGCGTATATTTGTATACTTATACTATCTAATCAATCTCATCATGCGTTAATTTTGTGTCGCTATATGTTTGCCTCACTAAGGTTAATTTATGCCTACGTCTGTCTTTGGCCTGCGCTCTGGAAGTGATCTGTTAATTATATATATATATATATATATATACACACCTTGCTACGTGTACTGCGTTAGGCTAACCGAGACTTGTCATTTGCACGCATATATTGTTGCTCTTTTATTAGTTTTGACTGCTTTTATTGTCCTCATTTGTAAGTCGCTTTGGATAAAAGCGTCTGCTAAATGACTAAATGTAGTGAGCTGTGTGCCTGTCTCACAGGACATGATGGATGAGATTTGTCAGGAGCAGTTCATGGAGATGAAGTTTCTAAATGGCGATCAGGAACATGGAGGCAGAGGCAGAGGAGGGCCACCCATCAGAGGCCGTGGAGGTCTTCCACCTCCTGGAGTACCCAGGTACCCACACCAATGTGCACACCTTTTTAATTGATTATTTGTGACTTTGTTTGAGCTGGATTTACATTCAGATTCTAAAACTGGTATTAATGCAGAGAAAATGTAACACTTTTTACTTTTGCAGGGGTCGTGGTATGCCCCCACGTGGTGGCCGTGGCGGACCCCCTCGAGGTGGAGCCACAAGGGGAGCTCCTGCAGGTAGAGGTGGACCATCAGCCCAGCTGCCCAGAGGAGCAGCTTCCAACCGTGCCCGTCCACCTGCCCCTGCATCTCAGCGGATGCCCCCTCCACACCCTCCGACCCAAGACTCGTACGAAGATTATGTATGTTTCTTTATTTTCTGGATTTACTTTGAAGATGTTGAGTGTCCTAGTATCTTGAAAGTTTATGCTGCTGTGGATTGATTGATTGATTTTTTTTTCTTCAGTCTTATGACGAGAGCTACACAGATGCAGGCTATGAATCCTATGACAGCTACTACAGTCAGCCACAAGCGTAAGTTAATAGTACATTTTAGTACATTTGGGACTTGGAAAGTCCAAGTTTCCTCCAAAAGACCAACATATAATTTATAATTATATATAATTTATAACAACAGCTTATAATTATTGTGGTTTATGGAGGCTTTTTGGAAACATCCCAGGGTTTTAAAAGCACAATGCTCTTGGCTTAGTATGTTATTTTAGGAAATTCAGGTCAGCTTCTCTTGTGTAAGAGTTGTTCGTTTGAACAGTGTTTGTACTTGCATTGTTTTTTCAGAGAACCTGAATACTATGACTACGGACATGGAGAGACACAGGAGGGATATGAAAACTACGGTAAGGTTTTTTTTTTTCCACCTTTTGAATTTTAAATGTTTTATGTGAAAGATTTAGTTTCCTGGTCTGTTATAGGGTCATTTAATTCCCATCCCATGATTTGCTGTTGCTAATGTTTTCAAACATTTATTATAGTTATTTTAAGGATGAGGACTCGTGCTACATTTGATAATGCTAATGTAACTGAACAGAACTGTTTCTGTATTTCAAGATAGATAAGGAAGAATTACTACCTGTGAGTCCTCACTAAATGTTATACTTGTACATTTGGAAATAAGGCCTGATGCATAAGCTGTTTCTGAAGTCACATACTGTCTAGTAGGTACTATATTTGGTCTGAAACTTTGTCACTGTTGAACAAGTACATTCTGTTTAGTATGAATATAGGTAGTATGAAATCTTCAAATGTTATGAATTTGGACATACTATAGCTTTCACATACTGTTTACGTACTATGTTTTTAAGGTGGGGCTTAGTGAAGGTCATTTACACCTTGGTAAGCTATAGTTTGTTTGCTGTTATCTTATACACTTGCACTGTATGTTTGGTCCCACAGCTCAAAATGACTGGAACGGGACACAGCGCTCTGCTGGCGGTGGAAAAGCTCCCACTCAGAGACAGACTAAGCCTGGGTTAAGGGAGCCCCCCTATGGACGATACTAAATCTGACTAGTGGAACGTCACCCAACGCGTCGCCATGACAACTGTCTCCCATGGCAGCTCACGCTTTAAGCTACCCGACAAAAGTAATTGTCTGTTTGTTTTTTTGGTTGTGTTTTTTTACTCCGGACTTTTTTAAAAGAAACTTGACAGAACGGCATTTGAATGCCTCAAGAATAAACAAACTTTAGAAGGATTAGTTTAAACATGGCTGTTTTTTTTGTTTGGTTTATTTTTGTTTTTGCCAATATCTCTTCCTCTGCTCATACCTACCCTTGCTTTTTTGCATATGTCGATGGTAAACGTTTGTTCCAATGACTGGAAAAAGTATTTAGCTGAAAGGTAAAGCCTAACAACTGTACAGCCACTTTTTTGTGTCTCAGGACGCCACTTTAATTTGTGTTACCTTAAAAACTCTGCTGAGGTGCAGTTGCAGATTCCCATGTAGGCTACATTTCAAAATTCTGTTTAATACTAGCATATCAAAAAGACCCTAAATGTAATGTCTGTTTTGTAATAAGGAATATAAATTACTGAAATGCAAAATGTCTTTAATGGTATTTCCGACAGCCATTGATTATTCCTCATTTGATTTAAATAGTCTTAAAAGCTGTAAATGTAGATTTAGGCCTCAATATTTTTCCTTGTATCTTTAGAGTTTTGAAATATAGCCCAATTAGACGCTGTTGAGATGGAATGTCCTCAAATCCTTAATTTGTTTAAAATAAGATGTTACTCTTCAAAAGTGTTCTGCAGAATAACCCATGTTTGGCTACTTATGTTTAAAAGGGAAAAAAAATCATGTCAGATTATCATGGATGACACCATGCTATATAAACTGCATGCACAAACTGCTTAAAAGGATTTGGACAACAATCTCCACAATGGTCATCTCTTTCTTATGTAAAGGGATACTGCAGCTAAAACTGACTCTATTGTACATAATTTAAAAAAGGAAAAAGAAAAAAAAAACAACAACCCACATCCAAACTGTACTTTACTGCCATTTAGTATTTGTATCCTCTCCATAAAATGCAGAATGACTTGTGTAAGCTTGCCTAAATAGGTAACTAAATCTGTCCAAAACATGTTTTGCAGCAGTTGTCAATAAAGCCTAGATTGTTTTTTATGAAACTATAACCTGTTTTTTTTTTTTTTTGTCTTCATAAAATCTGAAATGGCCTTTTAAATAACTCCTAAGTTATAATAACCTTTCTTCCTCTTCAAAAACAGATTTTAAATTTAAAACAATGCATGTAGACTGAAGACGTAAACTACACTAAAGGAGTCTGTTTAAAGTGTTTGATTTGACAATTAAAAGCACACCTTTAATGCTTCTCTCTCTTTTTATACTTAAAAAGGACCCTAGAGGTAAGACCTGTGCTCTTTAAAATAACCTGGATAGCTTCCTAATGTCTATAGAGAGAACTAAAGCATTCGATGCTTGGGTATGTATTAAACTTTTCTTGAATGACATTTTATTTTTGGTCTCACTCAGAATGGGAAATGTATTAAAGCCTGAAATAATTTGAATTTAAAAGTTAAGTTATGCAGGGGCCATATTTGTCAAGACTGATGCAAAGACAAGTTGGCTGCTTTTAGCAAAAAGGACAGGAGGGGACTGTTAAACTTTTAAGTGCAGCATTGTAAAGGTAACCCTAACCCTAAATTTGTAAGTGAGTAGTGTTACATTTATATACTTAAAACTGTTTGGTAACAGCGTGCAATGATTTAAAAGATTCTGTCGTTAAAAAAATATAAAAGTAAAGTGGAAAAAAATATACAAACACACAGTAATAGATTTTGCTTATATTTTTGTACTAACATTCTAGAGCAGAACTGTAATGCAACTCATGCTAAAAGTGCTCAGTGTCAAATCTAGATCCATCTGTTTGTAATGCTGCTCCTGTTTTTTTCTTTCTTTTGCGATTTAATTGTTTAACGTATTGAAATACTCAAATGTCCTACCTAAAAAAGTTACCTGGAAAAGCTTGAGTTGCATGACTCAAACTTGGCAGATTGCATGAGCTTCCTCAATACAGTATAGTTTATTATGGCAATGTTTGGTTATTCGCTCATAGCGATCTCTCTTCCCTCAGGTTGTGATGCCTGGCAATTCCTGGAAATGCAAAGTTTAATTGAGAATGTCAGACCTCTCCTCAGGTCAGTTATCTTTTCCACTTAAACTGCAAATATGCATCAATGCTTGTCCATTAAAAAAGTTGTTACTTTTAATTGTTTGTACTCTGTAGTTTTCCTCCATCCTAAAGGGGTCATATGATGCGATTTTCAATTTTTCCTTTCTCTTTGGAGTGTTACAAGCTCTTGGTGCATAAAGAAGATCTGTAAAGTTGCAAAGTCTCAAATCCAAAGAGATACTCTTTATAAAAGTTAAGTCAACTAAGCTGAGTTAAGTTGTATTTACAACACTGTTCCGGAACGGTACAACCCAAATATTCAGATGTGTGCAGTGCATTTTATGGAGGATTATAATGGGTTTTACTGGTTTTGTCTCGTTGCCACCGGGACACGGCATCACAGTATGGTGAGGGGCGTAACATTTCCGTCACACGCTTGAGGTATTCGGTCAATCACAACGCACTAGATAGCTGGCCAATCAGAGCACACCTCGCTTTTCAGACCGATGAGCTTTGTAAAAATCGACGCGTTTCAGAAAGGCGGGGCATAGAGGAGAAACAATGTACAGTATGTAGAAAATGTGTTTTTTGAAACTTAAACCGCATAAACGCATTGCATTACACCAAATACACAAAATAATGTTATTTTTTAGCAACGTCATATGACCCCTTTAATTCTGATGAGTCAAAGCTTTCCAAATCTGCATGTTCTGCAAGAAGCACTAAATGGCACAAAGTTGCACTGCCCTAATGGGCTTGCTTCCGGTTTCCACTGTATACTCAGCTCTGTAATTACTGGTAGCTCCAGTGGTTTAATGTGATGAATGGACTCATCATGGAAGATAATTCAAATGTCTCAGAGTTGTGTGCTCTCCTCCCTCTTGCTTGCTTTGCTGATCGACTTGCTATTCTTCTACAGGAAAAGACAAGTGTTTGTTTGCAGTGTAAGAACAATCTTACCTCTGAACACCAGCTGCCTTTAAGGAATCGTGGACAGTCTGACCGAACAGCTTCTGAACGGGGTTGAATGGCAGAAATCGATGGTCCTGTCGACTAAAGTTTGAACCACCAACCTCTTAATGGGTTAAAGCGGAAAAGTCTTGAGTTCTTGGTGATGTTTATATTGGCTCTCCAGTTGTAATGCAAGGTCATTTTGTCTGTGCTGAAAGTTTATCTTTTCTGTTCACCTCATCAAGTGCTTTCTAAGCACACTTTACTTTAAATGTATATCTTTAAATGGACTACTTCTGTTCATGTTGGCTAAGAAATCATTTTAACAAGCTAAAAAAAAATCTGTCCATGCTCTCCAGACGTCTACTTCAGACAATACTCCAGTGCTTTATTCTGCAAGACAAGCATGTCTTCCCCGATTCCTTGCTCGGACGAATGTACGTGCTAATTTAGAGCTGTCCGGCCCCTATCTCTTAGCACCGACTTTGTCCTTTAATTGCCATGGTAATTTTCATCGTGCTCTTGAGTAGATATGTTTGAATGGGTTTATGCTGGTGGAGCTCTAACATTTTTACCTTCTGGATAAAGGTCTTTCTTGCCTTAATTGAGAGCTTTCCATAAATTCTGCTTTGCTTTCTAATCCTCGCTGTGTACGTGTCACTGTTAGTGTCTATTGCTGTGGCTTCCATCTTTTGCTCACCCCCTGCCTCCCTCCCTCCAGTGCACATAGGATTTGAGCCTGTCATTTTGACCAATTACCATCGCTGACCGTGTGTCCGTCCCCCCGCGTAGCCGCCACTGTTTGCCGACTGGCTAACAGGACTAATGCCTTATTGCATTAGAGACAAATCAGTCCTCAGCCCAGATTTTAATAAGCATCAGCCACCGCTCAAGTGCCATCGAACAATTGGAAATGGGTGTGCGTGGGTAGGAGGTGGACCGATGCGTATGCAGGCTTCACCGTAATGAGAAATTGCAAAAGCAGATAATGGAAATATTTAATTCATTTCCCAGACAGATGCTAGGGGGTAAAGAAAACTAGTCTCAAGCAGGAGGAAATATTCAAACCCACTGTGTGCACTTAATGGGTCTTTGTTTACATTGTCATATCGGTTTACGTCAGACATGCATGGCCTACAGCTGCTGGGGAAATGCCTCTGGGGTAATGTGCAAAGAATGTGTGGTGGTCTGAAGCCGGGGGATTGGGGCTTGGCAGCTCTTTCCTCTTAACACACATTGTGCATGCTGAAAACAGGAAGCATGGCTTTGCGAATGCAAATGAAACGCTCACACCACTGTCTGTCTTCCTGCATGGCTAATTTGCTAGGTTCACACCTAACCAGTACACACTCTCCAGGGAGTCAGGGTTTTGAGTGCACAGGGAGGAGTTGTGACTGGTTCTGGCTCACGTCCTGGAGAACCATGGCCACTGGCCACCTCCTTCAGCGTGAAAAGCTGGTAATAACTAAGCCTCCTAAAGGTCTCTCTCATTGTGCTGTGATGAAAATGAATTGAATCCATGTGGAATCTGGCTTGAGTAATCCGTAGCCCTCCAGGACTGAGTTGGACACCTCCACCTTGGCTGTCACTGAAGTAACATTCCATTGCATGTTTTCCAACATCAACATAAGCAGATGCACCTAACACAATGTAGGGAAACCATGGGAATTTCTTGGGATTAGTGATGGAATACAAGTGCCAGGAGTCTGTGTTCTTTTGTTTTCCTAAAGAGATTGATGAGCCTGTATTTCCAGTGCAGCTAAACTGGATTTTAGCTTATTGAAGTGCCTAGCTGTTGGCTCAGTAGAAGCAAACTAAAGCTTTTGGAGTCAGATAAACCGTTCAGTGACTTTCTTTACATTTGAAAGTCATTCAAACTTGTTTGGAAGTTGGTGCATCCAAGAGCACTCGCACACAGACTGCATATTATTATGTATGACTACAAAGAGAATACTAAAATTCACAGATGTTTTTACCTGTTTTGTAATGTCAAAAATAAAATAAAAAATAATTCATGAAGTGGCTCTAATGTGTCTCTTTCAAAGCTTGGCTTCATGTCTCTTGATAGCTTCTCCTCAGGGTTTCAGACTGTGACTACAATGGACTTAAATGTAAAGATGTTGGACAGTACAGCAAGTCAGTATATAAAAAAGTACAGTTTTTGTCCTGAAAATGTTGCACTTTGTTTAAAGCAAATGTCTTCAACCTTAATCAAACACACCTGAACCAGCGAATCAGAGTCTTCAGGATCACTTGAAAATCTCAGGCAGGTTGGAAATTAGGGTTGCCAACCGTTCCGTATAATACGGAATCGTCCCGTATTTAAGGCATCAAAGAAGCGTTCCGTATGAAAGCTATACGGAACGCAGTTTGTCCCCTATTTAAGCTATAAGGAACGCAGTTTGTCCCCTATTTAAGGCATATGCCGTATGAACACCTAGACCATACGAATAACAAACTCTAAATTGAGAATGAATCCTTTTTTTTTTTTTTGACAAGTGTTTGATTTGTGAACATAGCCGTTCCAGTAAGGCTTTAGGTCCAAGCGGAATCCTCTGCCGGCTGGTCGCTCCCGCTTCACAGCAAGCAACGACCGTGTTTCGACTTCAGCAAATCAGTTTGAGCGAATGCAAACAACGTGATTCCAACATGCAGCCACGCAAGAAAACGTGCATTTTACCTGACGTGATCAATAAGGAAAGTCGTATTTACATTTAAGTAACTTCCAGCGTATTCTTGCTATAAGGAACGCAGTTTGTCCCCTATTTAAGGCATATGCCGTATGAACACCTAGACCATACGAATAACAAACTCTAAATTGAGAATGAATCCTTTTTTTTTTTTTTGACAAGTGTTTGATTTGTGAACATAGCCGTTCCAGTAAGGCTTTAGGTCCAAGCGGAATCCTCTGCCGGCTGGTCGCTCCCGCTTCACAGCAAGC